TATATATCTCGTATATGTGTAGGTTTATGGTAGAAAGTTGGCCTAAGCATAGGGAAGACCCTGCACTAGATTGCCACCAGTAGAAGCACCCACACTCACATTCAGCCATACACACTTCCTGACACACAGAGGAAATACAGACAGGGAGAGGGAGTCAGAGAAAGGGGAGGAGGAGGAAGAAAGGGAGAGGGAGAGAGAAAGAGAGAGAGAGAGAGAGAGAGAGAGAGAGAGAGACAACATGCAGAGACAGGGAGGAGACAGGAGAGAAAGAACTACATAAATGTTTTCAATTAATGCAAACTAATAACATATAGAAACTATATTTATATCCCATTTCCAAGTAATGTTACTCTTGCTTTTTAAATTTTTCTTTGTGTGGTGTACTCCTGTTCTGATTAGGGTATTTTGTTTTGTTTTGTTTTCTTCAACTTGACACAAGCTAGAGTTATCTGGGAAAAGGAAACTCAACTGAGAAAATGCCTTTATCAAACTAGCCTATAGGCAACTCTATGGGGGTAGCTTCTTAATGAATGATTGATGAGGGAGGACCCAGCCATTGTTGGAAGTGCCATCTCTGGGCTGGTAGTCCTGGCAGGTATAAGAAAATTAGCTGAATGTGAGTCTGGAGAGGAAGCAGTATCCCTCCATGTACTCTGCTTAAGTTTTTACCTCCAGGTTCCTGCCCTGCTTAAGTTTCTGTCTTGATTTCCCTCATGATGGACTAAAACTGCAAGCTGAAACAGCTTTCCCCTAAGTTGCTGTTAGTTATGGTGTATATCACAGCAACAGAAAACCAAGATAGAGCTGGGTGACGGTGGTACACACCTTTGAGAGCAGCACTCAGGAAGAAGAGGCAGGAGGATCTCTGTGAGTTCAAAGTCAGCTTTGTCTACAGAGTGATTCCAGGACAGCCAAGGCTGCACAGAGAAAGTAGAAAAACCACAGAAAGAAAGAGACTTCCATGTGCTAGGGAAGTGCTTTACACCGAGCTGCACCCTACCACCTAAATTTTCTTTAAATATGTATGGATTGTGTAAAGAGGTGTGCATATGCTACGGCATGTGTGTGAAGATCAGAAGCCAGCTTTCAGGAGCCTGTAGTTTCCTTCCACCATGGAGTTCCTCGGAATTGCACTCAAGTCATCAATGTCTTGCGGGAAGTGCCTTTACACTCTGCACCATCTCCAATCCCTTTACCCTTTTTGTGAGACAGGCTGGTTGAAATCCTGATCTTCCTGCTTTTATCTCCCTACTTCTGGGATTACAGGTATACATTGCCACACTTGGCAAAATTGTTTTCTTTAGCAGTGTCTGTGTGTGTGTGAGTTTGATGGGTAGACACTGTCAGAGGTGTGTAGGTGTGACAAGGTTGTGGCATTGTTTCTCCCCTTCCATTTATGTTCTGTAGTGGTTTGAATGAGAATTGTCTACCATAGGTCCATGTATTTGGACATCTGGTTCCTGGTTGGGAATGCTGTAGAAATTTTAAGAGATAGAGCTTTAGTGGAGAAAATATATTCCTGGGGAAAGGCTTTTGATGTCTTATAGCCTGCCCTCCCCACCCCTGCTTTCTATGTGTCCTGTGTTTGTTTGGTGTTTTTGTCCCTTTACCACAGCTAGAGTCATTTGGGAAGAAGAACTCTCAGTTGAGAAAATGCTTCCATGAGGTTGGCCTACATGCAAGTCTGTTGAACATTTTCTTGAATAATGATTGATGTAGGGGTGCTCAATCCCACATAGGCAGTGCCTCCTCTGGGCAGGTGGTCCTGGGTTGTGTAAGAAATCATGCTGAGGAAGCCAGTAAGCAGTGTTCCTCCATGGCCCCAGCTTCAGTTCTTGCTTTCTGTGGTGATGAACTGTGGTATGGAACTGTAAGCTGAAATATACCTTTTCCTCATCAAGTTGCTTTTGGTCATTTTTTTTTAAATCACAAAAAAAAAAAAAAATCTAAGACAGGAATTGGTACCAGGAGTAGAGTATTGCTATAACAAACCTGAGCATGTATTTTTGGGAGTAATGTTGAAACTTTGGACTAGAAAAGCCATGGAGTGCTCAGAGCTTAATGAGCTGTTGTGTGAACTTGGTAGATAATGCTAAGAGCAATCTAAATGAGAGAAGAAAAGCCATTATCAGGGGCATTTATGTGGTATTTTGAATTAAGAATATGTAGTTTTGGCCATTGGGAAATGAAAAATATACTGCGATTAACAAGAGACCAAAAAACTATGAAAGTGAAACTTTGCTTTCCTAGAACAACTGATATTGGTCATCTGGGGCTGAAGAATCAGCTGTGAATAAAGAGACCAGCATCATTGTAGCAAAAACTTCTGAGAAGTGCTTCCTCAGGGCCAGCACACAGAAGCCGTGGTACACAGGGGACCAAAGCTCCATCTTATACCGGCTGCCAAACTTGGTAATGTGTAAGAGTGACCCAGACGGTACTGGTTTCGAAGGCATGAAGGGGTCATGGGAGAAGCTGAGGCTTTGGCACTGTGTGGCAGGTCTGGTATCCTGAAGAGAGTCTCGGAGAGGCCAGTAGTGAAGATGGAACCTCAGTTGAAGTTAAAGCCTCTGTACTGAAGGGGTAATCAACAGGAGTGGCACCATGAGGCAGGGTCATAGTCCCTGGAGAGAGCACAGGAGAAACTATTGGCACATCTGCATTCCAGCTGCAGTGGAGATAGCAGAATTTGGGAAAGAGCAGTATAATGAAATATCCACCAAGAAGAAGAGCAGCTCTGGAGTGGAGCAGGCCTGAACCTATGAGTCAAGCCTTTTGCACTATGTGTGGCGGACCTGGAGAAGTAGAACTGCCTAAGCTCTTTGGAGCCCAGAGGATCCTGAGGGGACTCCAGAAGTCTGACACTGAGATTTATACTGTTGATGACTGTGCCCTGGTCATTCCCTCCTGGATTAAGAAGGTATATAACTTATTTTGATATTATAGGAATCCAGTTATGAAACTGGATTTTTCAAGAAAAGCATAGAGCTGGAGAGATGGCTCAGAGGTTAAGAGCACTGGCTGCTCTTCTAAAGGTCCTGAGTTCAATTCCCAGCAACCACATGGTGGCTCACAACCACCTATAGTGAGATCTGGTGCCCTCTTCTGGCATGCAGGCACATATGCAGGCAGAACACTGTACACATAATAAATAAATAAATCTTAAAAAAAAAAGAAAACTATGGAGATTTAGAAATGTTGCTTTTTTTTAGAGAGATTTTGAACATTTCAAAGAAAGTCCAAGCATCTAAAATGTTTAAATTTTTAAAGACCGTGGGGATTTAAAAGAGTGGAATATTTTATATTATTATATTAGTGCTAATATGAGATCTTGGGGATAACAAGAAAAGGAAAGGTTATTGTTTAATAGTGTTCTATTTGTGTGTCAAGTTGACAAGGGATTCATCATCCTGGTTGTTGTAGTTTTTTGTTGTTGTTTTTGTCAACTTGATATAAACTAGAGTCACTTGGGAAGGACTCTCAATTGAGAAGATACCTCCATAAAATTGACCTGTAGGCAAGTCTCTTAGGCATTTTCTTGATTGATGTGATTAAACAGATCTCTGAGTTCAAGGCCAGCCTTGTATACAGAAAGTTTCAGGTAAAGAGAAGCTTAAGTCCATGCATGGTACTACATACCTTGAATCCCAGCACTCAGGAGACAGAGGCATGAAGATCTCTGAGTTCTAGTCAGTGCTGTTCAGGCAGTTTAGTTAGACAGTAAGTTGAGAGGCAGTGCAGTAGAGTTGAGCTCATGGCAGTTCAGTTTGTGTCACTCAGAGACAGTTTTTTTTACCAGTAGAGTTTTGCAGAGAGAGGTTGAAGAGAGAGCAAGCTAGACACAAGTGAAGGCAGAACATGCCAAAGAATGAGATGGAGGCAGAAGATTAGAATAGATTGCTAAGGTTAGTAAGAGGTCAAGCAGAGCAATTCAGTCAGAAACTGAGAGAAGCCACATTGAATCAGTCAGTTAGGAGAGGTATATGAGCCAGAACAGCTGAGTTGAACCAGCCAGCTAGAGTTCTGAACGAGCCAGAAAGGGTGAGCATATTCAATAGTAAGTCTCAGGAGCTGAAAACATTGTAAGCCTAGATTAAATTGTGTGGAGGCTAGAAGCTTCCAGGACTAGGGCTAGGTTAGCAGATGGAGGCAGTAAGCCTCAGAGACAAGAAATGATTCAGAAGAATAAAAGTTACAATTACAGTGATGAGACAACTGTTATTTCTCTGTCTCCTGACTGCCAGGTGAGTCCTAGGTGACTGCTGCCATATCTAACCTATCTAAATATATTGTAACTCTTTGTGACTTGAACTAAAATAAACCCTGTTCTTCTCTAAGTTGCTTGTGATCATAGAGTTTCATCACAGCAACTGAAAAGTAACTAATATGCATTGCAGGGATCAAGTTCAGCAGAGGTTTGCTTTATCAGGGGGCAAGTGTCTTTACCTACCCATCCATCTTGCTGGTCTAATTGTTGCTTCTTTGAGATATTATTTAGCCCAGGCTGGTATAGAACTCACTAATAGTTAAGAATGTAATTTAACTATCAATATTTATGTCTCTGGCCCAGCGAAAGTTCTTTTTTATTGTTATTGTTGCATTTTTTTCTTTTTTTGAGACAGGGCTTCTCTGTATAGACCTGGCTGGCTGTACTGGATTCACTCTGTAGAACAGGCTGGTCTTGAACTCACAGAGTTCTACCTGACTCTGCCTCCAAGAGGACTGGAATTACAGGTGTGCACCACTGCACCCAACTTGCAAAATTTTATTTTTTTTAAAGCAAGTCAATGTCTTTTTTTTTTTTAAGCTTCCCATTTTGTTTAAGCTACTTCACCCCTGATCTTCATAGCTAGGTTGTATGCTGTGGTCCTTAAGGACCAGGTGTGATAAAGCATGCCTATAATGTGAGGCTGTGGCAAAAGTTTGAGGCCATCCTGAGCTATCCTATGAAAATAAAGATTACATGAAGATTTGAATTATAATTTACCTGGATTTTTTTTTTTTTTAGGAAACAAGGCTGCCTTTTTAATTGCAATCAAATATGCTGTCTGAAGTCAGCCAGGGACCCTGAGCCCAGCCAGGGAACCACCGTGCCACCTCGATGTGGGAATGGGAGCTGGGGTAAGGGTGGTCGGCTTCTTGCCCTCCTTGCCACCTGTACCTGAGGAGCCCAGAGTACTGTTTCCACTGTGGTCAGCCCAGCCTCTGGCTGCCTGCAGGAGGTGGGAGGCAAAGGGGAGGAAGTTGAGCCAGAGGCAGGGACCCCGTTGCACACGCATGCAGACTTTCTCAGTGTTTGATTTTGTTTGTTCTCCTCCTTTGCTAAAACGATCAGATAGTTGTGTGAAGCTGCTGCCAAGCCAGGGATGGGTGGGACAGCACTACTGGACTGCAGCCCTCTGCTCCTCAGGTGTCCGGGGGCCCATCCTACTTCTGTATCTGGAACAGGAAGAGCCGCAGGTTAATGTTCTTGGCGGCCAGCAGCTTGTTGCACTCCACAGAGTCGATGATGGGCAGCGGCACATAGTCTGTCTCATTGCTCTCATTGGTGAAGACAAAGTGGTAGATGACAGGACTGATCCTCACGTCATCGTACGGCCCCTTGAGCAGAAGAAAAGAGCATTCCAGGGGCGCTGTGACTTTGCTCTTGAGGAGTAGCTGGAAGGAAAGTGTGCGCTTGCATGACAAGTTGGGGTTGCGCTCCGAGTCATTCACACGAGCCTTCAGGACCCATGTCTGGTTCAGTACTGTGAACCGTGGTGTTTCATAGTACAGGCGTGTGATGAAGTCATCAGTGCGATAAGACCGGAACTGAACCTCTGTGTACCCGATCTTCTCAAAGCTGAGCAGGCTGAAGATGCTGTTGTAGAGCTGCATCTCCTTGCGATGGCTCTGGTCCATCTCATCCAGGATCTCCATCAGCTCATTGCCTGTCTTGGTTGGGTGGGCACATGCAGCTTCGTGCACTGTCAGCTCATGGAAAGGGCCATGCCATGGGCAGCCAATACGCTTGTACTTGCACTGTGTCACCCTGTCCTGGCATTCTTCTTTCTGGTGCCTCTCTAGAAGGGAGCGAGGGAACTGACGCAGACAGAAGCCACACTCTGAAGGCAGCTCGCTCACAGCTTTCTCCACAGCCAGGTTCCGGCAGCAGAGGCTCTTACTGATCTCACAGCGACAGTTGGGACACGTGGCCTGCTCCTCCTTCAGCCGGGCATCTGCTAGTAGGTGGATAAAACAGCCAGCGCACATCAGGTGACCGTTAGTGCACTGGTACACAGAAGCCTTGGGCAGGTCCAGGCACACGGTGCAGCACAACACCGAGTAGAGCCGCTCCTCCAGCTTTCCGCTGCCCGCTGCTACCGCCGCCGCCGCCGCCGCCTCGGCCGCCTCGGCCGCCCGCAGCCGCTTCTTGGGCGGCGCGTCGGGGTCGCCCGCCGCCTCTTGCAGCTGCCGAGCGCCGGCCAGGCCCGCCTCGTCCGGGATCCCGGGCCCCGCAGCTTCGCCTAGAGCCGCCGCAGCCGGCCCCGCAGCAACCCCAGGCCCGGCCCCTACCCCGACCTGCGCGGCACCCGCGGACCCCGCAGCCGGACAACCCCCGCCGGCCTCCTCGGCGCCGGACATCGCGGCCGGCCGGCCCGGCGGGCGGGTGCCGGCGCGCTCGCCGGCTGGAAGTTAGGGTCGCCGCGCGCCCCTGCTGGCTTCTCGCTGCCGCGGCAACCTCGCAGCCTGCCCACCGTGCGGCTGCCTCAGTGGGCCTGGCCCGCGCGTCGGCCCGCAGCCTCCCCGGCCACCAACCCCGGCGCAGCCGCCATCTTTGTTTTCTGGATTTTTTTGGGGGAAAAGAACGTATACATTCAAATTTATTTTCATTTAGATGGCCAGCTGGAGCTCCTATTTATTCTTATTTCCTATGATTTAATAATCTATATTTTATATGCTTTAAACATATATTTTATATTATATAGAACTCATGACTAGAATTATAATTCTACAAATTATACAAATTATACAAATATAAATTTGTATAAATACATATTTTAGGGCTTTGTGCTCAAATTTTCCTTTTTTTCTTTTCTTTCATTTTCTTTTTTTTTTTTTTGGGGGGGGGCTACAGGATCTCTTATAGCCAAGGTTGGCTTCAAATCCATCGTATAGCCAAGAATGGCTATGAGCTCCTTATCCTCTTGACTCAACTAGAAAACTCAAAAGCGTTGTTTGACATGCTCAGGAAGAAATCAGGGAAGCAACCCAAGGCACAGTTGCTTTAATAAAGCAAGCACACAAGCAAGCAAGCAAGCAAACAAACAAACAAAAAATACTTTGGAATAAATATAACCATGGAAGCAAAAGAACCCATACAACGAAAATGTGTAAACTTTAAAATAGTAAAAAAAAAAAAAAAATGAAGAAGACACTAGAATATAGAAAAGACCCATCCATCACCATGCTCATGGATTGGAAGAATCAACATTGTGAAATGGCTGTATTGTAAGAAGCAATACAAATTCAATATAATCCCCATCAGTATTCCAACACTGACAGTAGAGAAGGCTCAGTGGGGAAGCCATGCTTGTTGTGAAGACAACACAGCTGACTTGATCCCGGCTACTGACATAAAGGTGGAAAGCTAAAACTGACTACAAAACTGTTTTCTGATCTCCATATGTATACTGTGGCATGCACATGCCCATAATACACACACACACACACACACACACACACACACACACACACACACAGACAGAGAGACAGAGAGAGACAGAGCCATTTGTCACAGAAATGGAAAATTAATCTTAAAATTTACTTGGACACACAAAAGACCCCATAGAACAAAAGCAATCCTGAGCAAAAAGAATATTGTCAGAGGTAACATCTGACCAGATTCTGAGTTATAGCAGACAACCACAGTAACAGAAACAGCTTGGTATTGGCAAACCCAAAACAGACACTCAGATTAACTGATGATCCAGATATAAACCCTCACAGCTACAGCCACTTGATTTTTATACCAAAAATGTACATTGGAGAAAAGTCAGCCTGCTTAACCAATAGCACTAGAAAAATTGGATATAAAAGCATGAAACTGAATACTTAACTTTCACACCACAGAAAAATCATCTCCGAACAGATCAAAGACGTTAATGTAAGATTCAATACTTTGAAACTGTTAGAGGAAAAGGTAAGGAGAAGACTTCAAGACATAAGCATAGGCAGAACTTTCTAATAGGAAATAAGTTCAATTACTGACAAATGGAACCTCATGAAATTGAAAGGCTCCTAGGCTACACAGAAAATACTTAATTTAAAAAAAGCCTACATAATGAGATAACATCTTTGTCAGCTTTATATCTGCCAGAAGATTAATATCCAGTCTATACAAAGAACTAAACAACTGAAAAATAGCCCATAATTACTAAATCGGCTAATGGAAATGACCACTCTACAAAATTAAATACAGGCCACCTAAACATGAGAGAAATGCAAATCAAAACAAATTTGAGATTCCATTGTATTCCAATCAGATGATCACAAAAAGAATCCTGGCAATGGTGTAGTTGAAAGGGAACTCTTTTCCATGGTGGGTGGCAATGTAAACTAGTCTGGCATCTGTGGAAATCGTATGGAAGTTTCCCAATAAACTATAAATCAATTGAACATATAACCCAAGCTATGTCATTCCTGTGTGTTTATCCGAAGGATACCAAGACAACGTATCTAAGAGACATTTGCATATTAATGTTTATTACAGCACTATCTGCAGTTGCTGAGGGATGGAACCAAGCCAGCTGGATAAAAAATGTGGCATGGAATCTTCTCAGCCATAAAGAATAAAGTTACATTGTTTGTAGGAAAATACGCATAACTAGAGACAATCATATTAAATTAATTAAGCCAGTCTCAGATAAGTATCATATTTTCTCTCATTTGTGGTTCCTAGGTGTGCTGGCTAGTCTTATGTCAACTTGACACATACACTAGTTATCTGAAAGGAGGAAACCTTAATTGAGAGAATGCCTCCAGAAGATCCAGCTGTAAGGTATTTTCTCAATTAGTGATTGATGGCGGAGGGCCTAGCCTATCGTGGGTGGTTCCAACCCTGGGCGGGTGGTCTTGGGATCCATAAGAAAGCAGGCTGAGAAAGCCATGGAAAGCAAGTCAGTAAGCAGCACCCCTCCATGGCCTCTGCCCCAGCTCTTGCCTCCAGGAGTCTCCTATCCTGTCTTCCTTCAATATGAAAATCCTTTCCTCCACAACTTACTTTTTGGTCATGGTGTTTTCTTGCAGCAATAGAAAGCCTACCTAAAACACTAGATTTTATATAATCACATAAAATCATGAATGTATACATGACCTGAAAGTAGAAGTGAAATTATTTTGGGGAACAAAGGAAAATAATGGGAAGGATAACTAAAAGAAAGATAGGAGAAATGGGTGGGAGAATAATAGTCCCTACACACACACACACACACACATACACACACACACACGTAAAAGAGTTAAAAACAAGGTTAAAATTTCAAAACTGAAAAAGGATTGTCTGATCTCAAAATGCCAGAAGCCACTGCTCTTTGAGCTCCCTGACTCTGAGCTCTTTGAAAGGCTGCTTTTCACTTTGAACCATAGCTAAGACTGTCTCTGGCAGTGTGTGTATATTCAAAAGATGATTGTTAAATAAAGCGGCCAGGATCTGAATACTGTCTTAAGCAACACAGCAACTGAGAAACTTTACATTCCAGCCTCTCCTGTGACAAGACATCTAAGATTCAAACAGTGACTCATAATAGCGTCAAGTTATGACTCACAGGTATCAAGTTCAGAAACTTTTAATTCAGAAACATGAATTCATAAAAACATAAAGACTTCCCTGACGCTTGTAATCAGCCTACAGGAGCTTAGGAAGCACTAATTATTATTTTTTTTTTTGTTAAGGAATCCTTTGCTTTTTATTTTGTTCCAGCCATCTTTTCTTGGTAATGGCAGTTTGCAGAAAGTTTGAACTCCTCATGGTATAAGGGTGAATACATTCAACTTCAGATGGTGAACTTCTAATAGATAATGACTTTCTGAAACATATTTTCATGGTGTCAGTGTGAAATCAATGTGAAATTGATGACGGTATCAAAAACCTGTCATTGATTACTAATTTTGAGACTACTATATTTTTTTCCTAATATGAAAATTAACTCTTAGCAAAAATAATAAATGTATATTTCTGGATTACTGAGTCATTTTTTTTTTTTTAGAATATTGGGCAATTTTTCATTTACTCACCCATAAGTTATGTTTGACTGGATATGCCCCTTGCACTTAGTATATTTTCGGTTTTTTTCCTCTGCTTTCTACAGTCACAGTTTTAATTTAGGCTCAATGTTCTCTCTTTTTAAAGATTTATTTATTATGTATACAATGCTATGTCTGCATGTACACCTGCACAACAGAAGAGGGCACCAGATCTCATTATAGAGAGTTGTGAGCCACCGTGTGGTTCCTGGGAATCGAACTCAGGACCTTTGGAAGAGTAGCCAGTGCTCTTAACTTCTGAGCCATCTCTCCAGCCAACCCCCCCCCCATATGTTCTTTTACCACCACTCCCTGACATGGCATTGTGATAAAGCACACCAGACTTGTTTATGTTGTTAGGACAGATAGTATCAGAGACCTATTGTTTTCTACAAATTTACCTTGCTCTTATATTCATATCAGGTTTATTATAATAAGACAACCAAGAACAAGGGAACATAAGGAAACTCAAGTAGATGGGTTCTTTTGTTGTTTTGTTTTTCCCTCTGTTTTTGTGTTTTAATTTTTCCAATTCTTTCTTCAGATCCTGAACTGTTTTGTTGATATCCTTCACCTGTCTGTATTGCTCTGATTTTCCTTCAATTCCTTCACCTGTTCGTTTGAACATTCCTGTTTATTTCCTTCGTGATTTAATTATTTCCTCTCTAAAGGCCACAAACTGTTTGGCTGCATCTTCCTGTATTTCTTTACAGATGGCCATAATCTGTTTGACTTTATCTTCCTCTATTTCATTGCCTATTTTATTTGTTTCCTCCATTATCCTCTTCATAAGCATATACATAAGGTCATCTTCTTGAATTTCACTTTATGATAGGGTGTCCATGGCTAGTTGCCCCTGGGTAACTGGGTTCTGGAGATGCCATATTGCTTTGGCTTTTGTTGGTTGTGTTTTTGTGCTGGCCCCTATCCTTCCCATCTGGCTGTCTCAGGTGTTGTCTGTTAATTTCTGGTGCCTGTTGGGTCCTGGGGTGGGGAGAATCCCCTTGGCAGAGTTCTGAAGGAGATCTTTTCAGCTTTTTGGGTATGGTCACTGAATGGCAGGTGCTTCTCAGGGAATTGCCACAGCTCACCTCAGGTATATGGTGGTCGTTGGTAGTCAGAAGGGCTCTCCTCTCACCAGAAGAAGTCCTGGAGACAGCTGCCCTACTGATGGGTTTCTTGCTCTGAATTTAGTGAGCTGCTACTGTTGCTCTTACACTGTGTTTGCTGGGCACAGCCCTCTTGAAAAACCAGGGAGCCCAGTGGCTTGGTCAGTTTACCTAGGGAGACAGGTTACACCTTGGAGCAGTGTCTGGGGGCTGATCCCCTGGATCCCAGACTTCTGTAGGTCTGAGGTTAGAGCTCTGTGCCCCAGTAGCCAAGTGGTAATCAGTAGCAGGTGAGAGAGGCACACAGGGCTAGAGCTTGGAACCTTTGGGAACCCAGGAACTTTTCCGGAGATTAGCCGTGTGTCCTGAGGTCAGACCTGATATTTCCCTCACTGTGGGATTTCCATAAACACCAGTCTATGGTGTTGGGGGTTCACAGTTCAGTCTGGGATGGTGATCAGAGTACTCAGGTGTGTGGCTCTGGA